TGATTAAAGTTAACTGCAGTTGCTTATTTTGTTCGAGACAATCACTTTTAGTTAGTCAAAATGTCCCAAATTAATCGACTGAATAGTCAGTCAAAAATTTTCCACACGGGCATCCTCTCTTCTATGGTGTAGAGTGTGTGTCCGAAAGAGATTGTTCATGTGTGCGTATACATACATACATTTTTGTTCTACCCGCTTCATTCTCTTTCTTTTCAGCGATGATGGTATATATTTGAAATATAAAAAAAGCCGTGCTGAAGGCTGCCAGCGATGTTGTTTCTCTATTTCCTTCTGTTAATCTGTGCCTTCTCTTCCATTATTTCACTCGTCGGTCGGTTTTTTACGAATGTGATCGTGTATGCATATCGATTGAAGGTCGCATCAATGATATTTTATGAATTCCGTTGGTACAATTCCCATTTTAAATTCTTTGTACCGATTCCTCACACCACATACAGCGTTTTTACTTTCGTTTGTTGAACACGCCGTTTTTGGTATTGGAGCCGATCGTTGTAAATTAAAAAAAAATTCTATCGTTGATCTCTTTCTCTCCCTCTCTCCGTCTATATTTGTGTCTCCAGCCTCAATTGACTCATGAAAATCTAATGTCTTTTGAGGGCTGTGCAATCGACGAAAAACGATAAACGAAAGACTGCATCTCGATTTCACTAAAATACAGCTGTAACCATTGCTACATCTACCATTACGTTGCGTTCTAACGACGTTGCCGACAACTATATTTGTAAACCCACTAATACAAGTAAAACAAATGATACTAGAAAATCAAAGGAAAAACGAAAGACACACCCTAAAACTCCGATACCTAAATCTCATAGCATAAAAAATAAATTACTTAGAAAATGTTTTCGAACATAAAATGGAATTTTTCACCTACTTGTCATGGCGATGTTCGTGAAATTGAACTTTCCGAAGAAAAAAAACTGATTTCGCTTACTGATTTTACTGAATTGTACTCATGTTGTATGACTAATATTCAACCTTCATTTCTGTGTGAACAGAACATCAACCTTTAATGTCATTGACAATATACAAAATGCATGTTTTTTTTGCGCCGCTAAACACAAATTAAAATAGCGATGAATAGCTCCAGCTACCTGGAGAGGGTTATGTCCAGAAAAGCAATGCTTTGTTTCAAGTATCTAAAAATATTGGCAAAATATTTAAATAAAAGAATTGGACCAAAACAATTGTTCACAATCGATTTAAATGGAAAGAAAGAAATTCTATCGTGGTCTTGATGTAATTACCTATTTAAAAGCAATCTTAAGGCAAACATCCAATATGAATACTTACATAGTTTACCACCACGAACATTTGCTGTAAATACTTACTTATCAACTAAAAGCATTCAACATTCAATTGAAATTACATTATTTCAGCCTCTGCATTTTTACATCTTTAGATTTAAAAAGTGCATTTATATGCATTAGCTAAAACAAATAAAAGCATATGAAGTGGTGGAGTTTCCTGGGTTGTGGAGAATGTTATATGAAATGCGAGAAATTGAAGTGATTTTTCTAAAGAAAAAAAGAACAATTACCCGCATATTATGTAACGTACCATTTTCGTTACTACATTCTTCTAACAAAGTTTAGCAACTTTCCCTCTTTCTTTCGTGAACGAATGAGTTGAGATGGAAACAACCGTACAATTCGAAGGGAAAAATGATCGTCCAATATAATGGTGGAGAAAGTTTAAAAAAAATTGCAATTTGAAATCTTGAGAAACATCCAAATTCATGCGCTTCATTGGTCGATCAAAGAAGCATATACTTTTCGTTCATTTTTATTCAAATAAAGAAAAAAATATATGACATTTCTTTTAAATCCTATTAACACGACCAGATTAAAACAATCACTGCTCAACACAGAGAGCATGCAGTTTGTGAGAAGTAACGTGAATGTTAACGATGGCATTTAGTACAATGAAACAATTGGTACCTGAGATGAAAGCGACATTTTCGCTTATTTTCCGTCTTTTCTTGCTGTTTCAAATTGAGCACAGAGCGAATGGTATTTTAACCGGCGAGGAGCTATTTATTTCACACTCATGCATCAGAATCATACTTGCAAGCTCACACTGGATAAATTGCTTTCAACAATTTACTGGAAACCTAAACGCCAGTTACACGAACTGTACAATCGAAGCATATTATATTTAGTAAATATTATTTACTGCGCAATATGTAGTACATTTCTGTTCTAGTGGCATCAGGAAAGTAGATTCATTGTTTTTATTATTAACTTAAAAGTCGAAGGAAACATTTGCGACATTTGTAGCGATTCAACAGTTTGAGATTGGTATGCACATCATTTCTTTGTTTTCTTCTTGTTGAGCAAATTGTTTGAATCAGTTCATTTATTGTACATTAACTAATAAAAGACCATGAATGCACTTATTTGGTGTGCTAGTTGGTTTTTTATGTTGCGTGAGCAAGTATTTATTGCTTCCTGGATTTTACACTGCTATTCGACGTGCCAGCATGCCAGTTATACTTTTCTTTTATATACTTTTCGCCAGAATCATACCAAATATTCGGTTCAATTCTTTTCTTTTCCACATCGTTTCGCATTTTATTGGACCAGGCCCAAGATGCGATCTATTAACGGCATTTTTCTCAATTCGGTTCGTTAGATAACGACGTAAATATTGGAAAAAAATATATAGACTAAACTTAGTGTGTGAAAAAAAAGTCTAACGACCTTCTGACAATTTTTTGGCAACATTTACGGCCTTTCTTTCCTTTTGTTGTGTAAATTGTATTTAAAATGTTGAAGGCAAATTCATTAAAGAGAAACCGAAAAGGGGTCATAATAAATTTTCTTCTTCCTATTTTCTTTAACATATAAAAACGCTCGCACTCCCATACATACTCAAAGCCAATTGAGACTATTAACACAGAAGTAGAAAAAAAACGAAACATTTTCATCGTTTTCTTTCATGCATGCATTTTAGTTTGTTCGAATGCACCACTTGTGGAGAATAATCGGAAATGAAGCTGTTTTCAAAGGATAGCTGCAGAGAATGATGATAGGTGTGTTACAATTTTCAACCCTTATTTAGAACTTTTATGGCTTTATGGCATTGACATAAAACATCTTCTTATTTTAATGTGAAAAACTGGAACAGTTAAAAGATTTGAATATTAAGAAAACTGCAGAAGAACGGATAGCAAAATCTGCTGAAAAAAAAATATTAATGGGTGCAATTTATGTTTGAAAGAGCGTTACGAATGCATATACAATGGAAACTTCTTACTATGTCGATAATTAGTTTGAAAGAATAGTATTCACTTCGGCAAACTGATATATATGCATATATGTTGCGTTAGTCAACTCATTCGCTCAGTCACTACAGAACCCATATATTCAAAGTAATTTTCTGCATTCAGATGATCAAGAATTTAAATAAAGTAACAGTAAACAACAAAAAACAAAATGAAACAAGAAAATGTTCAGATGAAATGTAATTTATAGAATATTCCATTCGTACTTGTATTACCAATACTTCTTTTTTTTCGTTTCATCTTTGTTACCGCTGCATTTGCAAAGTTACATTGACTATGCTATTTGCTTCTAAATGAGAAAGAGTTGAATGCGGATCGTTTCTAAAATGACCTTGGAATTTGGACTACTATGAATTTTCAACATGTGCGAAAACTATTTATAATGGTTAGACGCTTCGGCTTTGCATTTAAGTTTTTCGAATTCCATCTTTTTATCTCTCCCTCGAACAATAATAGAGTTGAGAAAAATTTTCAAATTATGTATGTATTTTGATTTTTTTTTCTCGTTATGGATTGCTTCAATAAATATGCCCTTGCTTATTTAAAGCGCTCAGAAGTATGACCAGATTAAGAGTGAGTGAATCAATACTTACACTGAATCACACAGGTACATCATATATAAACAAACACTCAACAGCTTTCAATGAAATTCAATTATTTTTTGTTTCTTTCCCACTTTTGATTGAATTCACCTTGAATACGTTTAAAACACTTGGCTTCACTTTTCTAGGATTGACAATGGTGCGATTTGCTCAGCCCAAAATATCGCGATCGAGAACAATGCTCAAGCATTTTATTATTATCGTTTTGAAGTTATTATTTTATTGCCTACCTTGTACCTACAATAATGAAAACTAATTGGTCGAAGCGATTCACCTCTGGTTCAGAAACCAAAAATCGTCAGCCGGATAAAATCATTATTTTTATCGTTGGTGATTGAACAGATTGCATGTAATCATTCTTTTTTTCAATCGCTCTCTCTTTCTTTTCCAATTTTCAAAATATGGACGAAATTTCTGAATTTCTTTTCCATTTTCTATGATAATAATGATTCATCAGCAATTGGATGACAAATGGATGTAAAATGGATGTAGCAGGGGAACTAGTAAAAGTAAAAAAGGAAAAAGTGATTGTTCTTTCATTTCGAATATCCGCAAATAGAAAGGTATACCTATTGACAATATGAATGGAAATTTTTCTTTTCTATCTGCACGATTTTGTCGCTGCGTCACTCATAATTCTCTAGTCGTTCTTCAATGTTGCATGTATCATACATAATCCCGGAACAAATTGTTCTTTTGGAATCATTTGGAAACAACTCATTTCGCCAGGGGATTTCTAACCGTTGGATATCTATTCATCATCATCATCATCATCATCATCATCATCATCATCATCCTCATCATATAAAAAAGTAATAATGATCTTTTTATTTGATTATTTTGTGTCTTTTTTCGTAAAATGTTTCATTTGTTATTTGACTTCAATTCAAAGTGGAAAATTGAATCAGCAATCAAATTTACCAGACAACAGAAGAAAACAACAACAGTGAACTTTCGTTCGATGATCGTAGACCAATTGAGCTTTGATGTTTAAAAACAAACGACAGATGGCACCACTATAATATATCATATTCAATATGGGTACTATCAAGATTTACAAAACAGAGCTGTTATTAAATATCATTCTTCTCATTAATATTTTTGATAATAATACAAAGTTCATTACATTAAATAAATAAATTAAAATAATACTATAAAACTAAGGTATTTCCGTATTCGAGGGACTCCAAAATTGTTTCAATTCGGCTTTTAACGACGAAGCATCCCATTACAAATGAACATTTCCTGGGAAATTGAAGAAAAAACACTCAATTGTTATTCCATATATTAATATATTTTACTTAATCCGAATGATGAAAAATATATTTACATTCACATATTATTTAAGTTATTAATTCGGTTGAATGGCGTGAAATCTATAATTACACCTGAAAATATGGAATTTTTTTAAATTTATGTGTTTCAAACACCTTAATAATTCATTTGATGAAATTTTCAGAAAAATTGATTAATATGGATTTTAAAATTGGCTAAACCCATAACCCATAAATTACCATACCGCTACTAAACCGAAATGTGTAGAACAGCTTTGATTCTTCTTCTTATTTCTATTCATAGATTTTCCTTCAGGCATTAAATTATGTTGTGGTTAATACTTATGGTGATCACGAATGCGAAGACTATTTAAATATTCAATAACGTCTACAACTGTTACAGTCACATATACAGCATGGCTGTGCGTTTTTGCGCTCAATTCCATTGTTTGTTCGTCGATTTTTGAATTTTCGGTTTTCGATGATGCGCTGACGTTCAATCTTTTCTTGGCGGTAAACAAACAATGGGCGAAAGATATGCAAGCGTTTTACACGTTTGTGTGGCTCTAATGCGGAACGTGAATCATCGACAATTTTCGGATCTAACGTATTTAAAGTGGAATTTGCATGGCTATTATCGGAACTCTGTGTTACTGCTGTTTCGTTGCGTTGCTCCAAGAATTTTCCATTAATTAACGAATCGGTGAGTAAACAATTGATGAATGAGCAAACAACGAACCACACGATAAACTGTTGAACGTGTGATTTTTGTTGATGTTGTTATTTTTTCCGGTAGAGACGAAAAAAATTTTTAAAATTTCATTTATATTTCAAAATAATTTGAGCAGAATAATTGGAAGATGAAAAAGAAGAAAAGGGAATAAGTTGGAAAATCATAGAGTTCAAATAGCTAATATGGTTTCTAAATATTGCTGAAAATTTGGAAGCAATAGTTGAATGAAATCTACTCTATTCGTTGCAGCTTGAGAAAAATTGCAGCTTTCGATATATTGATGCCAAAAATGTCAAAAGAGAATGAAAATCACGGAATGAGAAACGTTTTCAAAATTAAAATGTTCTAAGTTTAGTTATTAAAACTAGCGTACTATAATTCCACATGAATGTGTCGACGAATCGATTTGAAAATGTTAAAATTTGTGTTAATCAAATAATGAAATGTGTTAACTCTGGAAATTGGTTAGTTATGAAGAACATTGTGATGTTTCATCGATTTGTCTTAATAAAAAAATTGTAATAAATTAAGTTCATCGTCTAATCTGAGTCAAATCTTATTTACAATCAACACATTTTGTTCAAATGAATTACTATATTAACAATATAATCCGTAAAAATGAGCGAAACTATACCAAGTTTGTTAAGTGGTTGTTCACGATTTTTCATTTCCCACCCACCGAATGTCGTCTTTCAATTAAAAAGCAACCAATTAAATTTTTAGTATGCACCACTGCCCGTTTCAATGTCTTATTTTGTTCTAATATCCTTTCAATATTCAACCAGTTTCACGTTACCTTCATGGATACCAAAAGTCATAGGTAGGAAATCGGTCGGCCGACAAATCATTTGTCACATAGTCATAGTTCTTGAAAGGATATGATTCATAGAAATCGGGATAGCCAATGGCGTATTGATGCTGTTGGTGTTGTTGTTTTTGATGATGATAGTGATGGTAGTATGGATAATTGTAATAGAAGCGATCTGGATCGAAAGAAGGTCTGCCGTCCATCGGACGATTTTTCATCGCTTGCTCTTGGCGGTAAACAAACAACGGGCGAAATATGTGCACACGCATTTGTCTTGTGTTATTCAGTTTTGCCAACGGTGGATTCAACGGTTCTTCCAGTTTCAACAACGGTATGACTTGATGTAGTTTCACTATTGGGCTTTTCGATATTGAGTCTGGACTCGGCTTTGATACATTTAAATTGCTACCCAATTGAAATGAAATCGATGAAGGATCAAATGGATTTACATCGTGTGTGAATACAACGGGTATTTCCATCAGATCTGGTGATTTCGTTGGTGGTGCTGTTGAAGTTTGTGACAACGGCAATGCAACGATGCCGCTTATGAAATAGCTTATTCGTAGCAATACTAGAATCTGTTGAAATATATAATTTTCTTAGCATGTTTCCTATGGTTTTTCCTCATGTCGTGATATTTAACTAAACAACTGACGAATCATTTTAAAATGTTCAATATAAGATTGACATTGTTTATACACTAATCTGCATCTTTCATGAGTCAATACCGCAATCTTTAATTACATGAGTCATTTACTGCATTTGAATATTAAATCAAAAGATACTAAAAGAATATGAAAATATAAATGCAACTAATAGGATTGAACGAAAAGCACTGCAGAAAACATAGAAAAGCGTCTATATGTGTATAAATAGCACTTTTGCCATAATTTGGCCAAATGATAGATTTCTACTGCGTTTTTCTTGAACAGATTTACATAAATATACACAAAAGCAAACGAGAGAATCTGAGTTGTTGAAAATAAGAAAAAGCACGTGAAATGATTTGATGGATAAAGCACTTACTTTGATCAATATATCCATTGTGTATAAATTGCGAAGGAAAATTTGTCACAATGAGAACAGAAGCTATAAATATATAAATCTTCCACTCTATATGATTGGAAATCAAATTAACAACTATGTGTATTGCTTGCTAGACGGTGTAACAAACTAAACTCGGAATATTTTCGTTCACAAATTTATATTTGAAACAATTTAACACATTCTACCGACACCGGCTGGTTGTCTTAAATAGAAATGCGTTGCCATCTTTTTCCCTCCTTTTCTCTTCTTCAACAATCCCATACGTGACGTTGAGCATGTATATGATAATAGTTGATGCAGGTCCAATTATAGCGGAGGAAAAAAAAATTGCACGACTCTTTACTTTAATACCTATAAAGAAGTGCAAATAATAGAATGGAAAGTGGTGACTGTTCAAATTTCTCAATCAAAAGAAGAGATTTCGCATGGGCTGCGATGAAAGCTACCAAGTATATTTAAAAGATATATAACAGCATCGATGACTGTTGCCCCTCTTTTTTCCCTTTCAATCTATGACATCTTGTTGACTATAGCTGAGATGCATGTGTCCGTCCTATTGATGAATCAACAAATACCAAAGCAATGACACTTCAAGTATTAGCACAAATTAATTATCGGCGTTTCCTCCCAACTAACTATTGTCCGTATAATTTTGTGCGCCATACGTGCAACACTCATTGTTTTTTACAAATTAGCATAAATTAAAATTTTTCGTATTTACATTGTGTTCGAGTGACACACGGCGCTCACTTCCATCGCCAATTTAAACAAACATATTTACTAAGTGAAGTGATTAAATGCCATTTCCTACTAAAAAAAATACTTCGATTTCGCCATCATTTTTTGTCATTATTTCAAAGAAAGCGGATCCAATCTATTAGCTACACTTCTGGTGCAATATAACACAATACGATGATTCGAAAATGTGAAATGACCAATCTATCGAAATGAGCAAATTTCCAATTTTGCTATGCATTCGAAAACAATTAGCATATAAAATAGATCGTTTTATACTAAACATAGATTCTGAGAATCTATGATACTAAATAATGCATAAGAGTTTATTGAAAAAAAATCCATTGAAAAGTTAGACGCAGACATACTTGCAAATAATTACATGAAACTCCTGGAAAATTAACTCAATTAATAGTATTTATTTTATTTATTCCATAAACTGATATAGAGGTCATTTTAAATCAAAAATGATTTTGCAATAATCCAAATTCATTCTCTTTCTTAAATTTGACTAATACTTTCAAAGTGATAAAAAGCACCGAAAGTCGCTACTGAAGGAATTGAACATTCATATTGTAAGGGAGAAGTCACTCATTTGCGTCCTTCTTTTTTTCTAGTTTTTCAAATTATATTAGGCGTCCTTATAGAAATTCAGAAATATATCGCCAATTTTGTTGCATGTTGCGTGTTAGACATTGCATAAAATAGTATAAATTGTATAAATTTGGGCGAAATCCGATCTTCATAGAAAAACTTGCAGTCTTGAAGAAGCTTCAATAAAACTGCTGATGGAAGTCTACGAAATAAAGACTATAGCAAATAAACTTGATTTAATTCAATGGAAAAAGTTGTATATTTCTGCATCCAGAACGCGACCCGGCTTAGCCATTGAAATAACTTTGGGCGCCTATTTTTATTTGTAGATTTTTTTAGTGTTTTTTTATGACAAGATTGATATTCTTGACAAATAGGGAATTTATTCTGTTACTGGCCTTCACTGACCTGCTTCGCAATTTTCCTTTAACTATGTGCGAGAGAGAAAATTTCAAAAACCAAAATGGTAACTCCTTTAGACAGAGAGATTGAGAGACCTTTCAAATAGACAAAATAAATATAAAAAAATATTTAGAGGGGACTGTGCTTATATTCTGAACTATTTCTCGTTGAAAACCATTATACGTGCATACTTATGCATACATAGTAATTGATATGCTGTAATTCTGTCGGTATTTTTGTATTACTACCTGCTTAAACCGCCATAAAAGCTAGAAACAATATTTAGTTCACAATAGGTGAAAAGGTATTAATTTTTTCAACTATGGTTTACAGGCACAATCAGGGGATTTGTAGATTGAAACATAAGCACACTAGCGCCGAAGTTTGCCCTACAATATCATATACGGCAAGCTACAGAACTATTCATTCAGTATATATCATGTAGCTCAACTGTCAATCTGCAATCCCTCTGGGCACAATTATGTTGAGCAAGTTTCAATGGGTATTTTTGTTATTATTATTATTATTATTATTATTCTGCACCATACAGCGTTTCTTCGCCAGAGGCGGTTTATTTAGCATAAATAAATCTTGTTATATTTACAATATTTACAATGGGATAATTCATTCTATTTGACTTTATTCTCTCCAAATTCTGTTTCTCTTAAAATAGTCAGCTACTCTATGTTTAATAGTATTTGTACTTGTGTTAAAATCAATTAAATAAGTATCACAATTCGGATAGTAGTAATACAGTGCACCCCCGCAAATTAGAAACCCGAAAATTAGAAAACCTCAGAAATTAGAAATGAATTTCAAGTTTGAAAATTTGTATGGAAAATTTCTAATTTCCGGGGTTCATTTCTAATTCACGAGGTTTTCGAATCATTTCAATCAAGACAAAGGGAAATTTACTTCATTTTTAATGAAAAAACGTAATGAAAGTCTTTTCCATTTCGTTGAATAACTATATTAGCAGATCAGCTTGAGATTCTCGACGTTTACCATGAAGTTAAAAATTAAGTCACGAAGTAATCTGCACAACCCCTGCACCACACTAACAAAACAAAGTAAAACACGAATTTGCGATGAGCGCATTCAGTGAAGTTCATTTCAATTCTTTACGTCGTTAGACGCACTCATGAACGCGACAAATTGAACGCATCAACAATGTTCCGTAATGAGAGAAACATTTTTTACTTATAAAATTGGTGTTTATCACGTGCTACGCTCTCACAAAAATCAATTTTGCACATTCGTGACATTTTTATTTTTTTGTCTACTTTATTAACAAATATAAAAAAGATTCAATAATACATTAAACGATCTGTGTCACAACTTTTGACACTTGTATCGTAGCGCTAGAAGTGAGCTGTCAGACGCTTAGATGCAGGACCTTTGGTAATCTGTTCCATATTGTCTGCGTCAACCATCAATCATCAATCATTAACAAATCAATATATCGTTTTCAATTAAGCAAATCATTCCCTTTATCAGTTTTTCATTTGATACACCGTTTTTGGATGAAATTGAAAAATCCTCAGAAATTAGAAAACCCCCCCAAATTAGAAATGATCTCGGGACATTTCATTTCTAATTTGCGGGGGTGCACTGTATTTCATTCATCTGGTAAATTAGGCGGTTTGATAGGAACAAAGTATTTATAAAATTCATTGTAAACATGTTGAGTACAATATAATTGATAGGTTCAAACTTGGAATAGCAATTGTGATGCGTCGGTGATGAAAGGAAATCTGAGTTTCTTGTCCAATGTCGCGGTGTTTTAAAACTTATTTTGCTCAAAATGTATTTCGATGAAGTATTTCCACACATCAAATTGTGGACAAGTGATATTTGTGCTATCTTTCTCCGCTCTTCAAGCGTAATCATTTGTAATTCAAGCAGTCGGCATTCGTATGGCGGCTTCCTGAATCTGTGTGGCCACTTCATTTTGCGCAGTGCAAACAATAAAAACTGCTTCTGGATCGATTCAACTCGTGCAATTTTTTCATCGGTGTATGGGTTCCAAATTTGGGAAGCATATTCCACAATCGGCAATACAAATGTGAAAAATAATTTCTTTATTGTCCATGGATCATCAAATTCATATCCAAATCGTTTAATCCATACTAAACGTGATTTCGCCTTGGCTGTAATATACTCAATGTGTGCATTAAAATTCAATTTATGGTCAAGTATTACCCCAAGATCCTTTATCACGTCAACTCGATCGATTTTTTCGTTGCCAATGGAATATTCGAAGTTAAATTTCAGGTGGCCATGATGAAAAGACACAAATTTGGTCTTAGATACATTTAGCTTTAGCTTGTTCCGGTTAAAGTATTCAACAAGCCTATTCAAGTCAGCTTGTAATTCCAGACAATCATAATGTCTGATGTGTTTCGATAGTCGAGTGTCATCAGCAAACGACTGAAGTATTGAGTTTCTTATGTGTTTTGGTAAATCAATGATGAACAACAGAAACAATGTAGCACCAATCGGGTAACCCTGACCAGTTCCCGATGTAACTTCAATGGGGCTTGACATGTCATCATTCAATTTGACATTCTGTTGGCGGCCATACAAAAAAGATTTGATCCACTTGAGTATTTGTTGATTCAGTCACATAATATCCAATTTGCGTATTAGTAAATCAATGTTGACCGAGTCAAAGGCCTTCGCAATATCCAAGTAAATTGCATCGGTTTGTATTTGGTTTTTCATTCCTAAAATTGCACACGATGTAAATTCAGCCAAATTTGTAGTTGTAGATTTTCCCTTCACAAATCCATGTTGACTGTTATCAATAATATTCTCCATGTGATAATTAAGGTGTTTGGCAACGATGGCATCAAGCAACTTCGGTATTACACGCTGTAGGGCTACGCCACGATAGTTTTCAACTTTAGCTTCAACACCGCTTTTGTGCACCGGTCTAACGAATGAACTTTTCCAAATTTCCGGTACAAATCCAGTGTCTAATGATTTCTTCAGCATGTGTGCTATTGGCTTCAACAGTGCTGTAGTACATTTTTTGATAAAAAAATTTGACATTCCATCAGGTCCAGATACCATGTTGTTTGGAAGGTTATTTATCGTATCCATAACCAACTCCTCAGTAATGTTGATAGTTGTAAAATTAGCACACATATCCTTTAGCAATGGTTCATCTTCAGAATAATTCTCATTTTTGGTATAATCCAGTTCAGTGGACGCTTTGGCAAAATGTGTTACGAAAAATTGTGCTATCTCACCTCGGTTACTACTTTTCTTATCTCCAAGAACCATTTCATTCGGAAGATCATCATTCGTCTTTTTGGAACCATTCACGAATTCGAAAAACTTCTGTGGATCTTCGTTGATAAGATTTTCCATTTCAAGTTTGTAGTTTCTATATGCCAAACGTGCGCTCTTTTTGTGTTCTCTTCTCAATTTGGAGTGTTCTTTTTTGGCGTAGTTTTTTTCTTCAATGGTATGTCTGGATCCTATGTATTTGTACTGATTATTGACTCTATTCTTCAAATTGATAAGGTAATTACTAAACCATTTTGGGTGACTTGAAAGCTTCTTCGTTTTCATCACACCATTCGATGAAATTACTGAATCAATCAGTTCGTAGAACTTTGTGATATGAGAGTCCAAATCATCACCGGAAAACATTTCCATCCAATCGACGTCATTCAGCGACTCATTTATGGTATCGTAATCGGCATTCACAAAATCTCGGTAACTATAATTCGAAGTTGGTTTAAATTGGTTACAATCAAAATTACCAACATTTATCTCATACGATATGTAATGTGACTCCTGGTTCAGCAGGTGATAATCATTTTTGGAACAATTGGCGAAATCGGTGCTGTTAGTCCAAACTAAATCAAGCATAGCTCCATTCAAGTTGCCATTTTTGTTGATTTGCACAAGGCCCAGATCATGACAGGTGTCCAAAACGACCATTTCTTTTTCAGACGAAGCACTTATTGGAATGACTATGTCAGCATCTTCAGCATCATCAGTATACCAATCCAATCGTGACAAATTAAAATCCCCAGATACTATTAAAATATCTTCGTTCTTCATCATTGCAGCTATTTTCTTCAACGACTCCATATTTGCTTTATATACAGCGACAGGTGAATCAGGCCTAATGTATAATTAAACTAGAAATATGTTCCTATCTCTCAAAGGTAACATCACACATATTTGCTCAGCTCCAAATTGCTCACCTGTGCTCACAAATTGCGATTTCAATGCACTTTCAACGGCTATTAAAACACCTCCACCGCATGTTTTAACTTTTGTTTGTTTTGATTCGGTATCATCCGAACGATCACAACGATATACAACAAAATTCGGTGGAAAAACCTCTGCAGAATCAACTGTGCCGTCAAGGCGGGTCTCACAAAGCATAAATATAGCTGAATCAGAAGCTAGGACTTCAGCGTTGAATTCGGGTAGCCTTGTTTTTAGTCCATTTACATTTTGTGTGTGTATTTTCTTTGTTTTTTTTCGATGGTAATTTAAAATTCGTGGCATGGGACCGTGTTGAACCTGATTTATTGGTGTTGAAAATGAAATACTGGTTGGGGTTGGGAGTGTGCATGCATATGAGATTGAGTTTGTGGCTGCATATGTTGTTGTTGCTGCACCGGAATCATATCCGATGGGTAGTAATATGGTTGTTGCCAAAAAGGAGCCGTTTGAATTTGATTTTGTGGGCTAAAACGATTGCTATTTTGCCAAAAATTGCTTCGACTCTGATTGTACGGGCGGCGAGTATTCCAACGCGGACTGTGATCATCGTATTGAGCATGATTTTTCTGATAATTTTGCCAATTATTTCGTCGAGAATCAAATCTCCGATTGTATGGTCGCTGATAATTTCTTCTCGGTTGATTAGTTCGGTGAAAGTGATGGTGTCGTTGGTTTCGTTCAAAATTCGGATTCCTATTTGATCGACAGTGTAAGTTCTTCCGATTATCATTGTTTACTCGTGACTTCACTCGATCACCTTTTCGTTTCGTGCGATTCAGAATTTTTTTTTTGAAGAGACGAACTGTGTAGTCATCAGGTCATATCTCAGCGTTCAATAACTCATCTTTCAACTTCTGACTTAGAAAAATAATTTCAAACGATTGATGACGATGTTTCGTTGCCAGTTCCAAAGTCATCAGTTGGTTCACTTTGAATGAATCACGGCTCACAATATCGCATTTTCCAATAATCAAATCAGATATTTCATCCTCCGTCGTATTACTATCGTTGGAAGAAACATAAATACGTAAAAAATTGTCGGGAATAAATGTATTTTTCAAATCTTTCGTTACTTTATCCGGCAAAATCTGCTTCGCAAATCAGACTTCAAAAACTCAATTTTTGCATTTATGATCTGTTCAATGCCCGTCAAATTTAGGTCTGCATCCGAAGACATCGCGGGCGCTCCATTTTCATTTTCAGCATTTGTTGTACGTAAATCATTTAATTCAGTTTTGATGTTATCCAACTCAATTGATAAACGTAAAATTTCAGCATTTTGAGCAGAGATTTCGATGGATTTTTCGTTGCTCTTTCTAATCTCTGGCTTTGAGTGACAGCATTATCGACGAAATGTTTTCTGCATGACATACAAGTGAGTGCAAAAGGCGACGAATGATGGAAAAAAACGTTTATACCGCTTCATAACATTGTCAATTTTCTCTTTGTTTACTGAGCCGCTACTGTCAATCAAATCAAATGCACAGAATAATTCACGAGCAAATTCACACTTAGTCATACATTCAATGAAAATAGCGTTTTTACATAGAAAACATCTCAGGTATTCACCCTGTAATAATGAACCATCACACTTTTTTGTTTTGCTCAACGTAATCAAGCTATGATAGTTCGCCTTGAATTTGAAAATAAAAATGTGATCAAACTATTTTTATACGGTGCGCACATTGCTTTTAAGTACTATTATTACATTGTCTGAAGGAATTCAATTATTGATGGTTATCAGCTAATGATATACATGATAACGAAAAACATGGGAAAAAAATTTCTTCAATTTTCTGAAAATTTAATTCCAAAATCAAAACTGATATGTGATTCTGCTATTTAAGCCGCAAGAATTCTAACGGAATATTCAATAATAAAACCAAAAATTAAATAATCGAGGAAATAAAAAAAAGCAGGAGACAGACAGGCGAACATTCAGTTTTATATATAGATCGGTGATTGATCATGATCGATCAGCTCCGATTGTTGGAGAAAAATCAGCGCGCATTGAAATCGGCCATGATCGGACGCCCGGGAAACAGAACCTGAAAGAAAATACTTTTTCGTCTAAATTTCACCATACATTCAGGGGCATAGAACCTTATGATCGACTGTGCAGTTTGAGTGCAGTGGTGTTAGGTAGAGTAAAAGTGGGGAATGATTCAATTTTATCTCAATTTATATTTTAATATTTTTATCTTTTTATAACAGTGTTTTCTTTTCAATTATTTTTTTACAAACATTCAACTTAAATTAAAATGAAATGGAATGATTTTGCTGAACAAAAAAAAAGATGAAATATATACATGTCTCTTAAAGTTAAAATTAACGTTTTAAAATCCAATTCACTCATATAAATAGCATAAAAATGGGCTGAATATTTTGATGAGCAGTTATTGACTATCACAAATTCAACAAATAATACAGATTACACGTGGTAAATTTACGAAGAAAATGTACACAACGATTTTGTGTAAAATTTTTCATACTTTCCGCGTTGCTACCGTTCTTGATTTAAAAAAAAACACACAATTAAAACTGATGAAGTTTAACCGAACAAATTTGGAACGAACAATTTGCGGCGTCGTGATTGTGTAGATTTGTATTGGAACAACGGGGTGTATTTATATTTCTGTCCTTTTTGTGCTTCGATGCGATTCGATTCATCAGCATCACGTCTGTTTATGTATGAGTTGTCGGGTTCTTGGCGATCATACGAATAGGCTGACCGTTGATTCAAGCTTTTTGGATAGAAATAATATGCGTCATATGGATCGTAGGCCTCACGTTTGTGACGATATTGTGTATTAACTGGGATTGTGTCATCAACTGCAACATCACCAAACGATAATGGTGCCAGGTATGCATTTGCATGATGTTCATCTGGTGCAATTAAAATAACATCCACGGATGACCCGGGCAAGACTCTTGAACAAACTCTCATAATCACACTTGTTAACAACACTAAAATTATTTTTGAAACGATGTGATTGTTCTGTTGGGAAAATAATGCAAAAAAAATTCAACTTTAATAAAAAGGATTCTCCACGATAAAACACAAAATATTCATAAAATCTGTATATTGTGAATATTTACCATGATCTCCATTTCTTTGTATTGTAGGAAATTCTCAAATTCGAAATCTTTCTGTATATTCTAATCGTTAGAATTCTCACTCGCTGCGATTTTTCAAAACTTATTTGAGTCGTAAATTCCACAAGTTCAAAACTGTGAGAATTTATTGTGACTTCAGTATTCCAATAGATACTTTTTAACTGTTGTGTTCACTTGAACGTGTCGGATTGAATGATTGGGAAGTGCGATTTTTACCGTATTTATACGAAATTTTAGACGTGATTTTTGGCATGTGACCATTCTCAAAGCATTGTTGTTGCCTCACAGCCCCTGCGTATATGGATAGTATGCAAAGTACGTGCGATTGAATCTTCGATTTGTGTTTGAAGAGATAGTTAACCGATTCCTATACAAATCAAAAACGATGAAAAAAGAAGAATCTAGGTGATTGCGGTTAATTTTTGTGACGCAACACAATCAGCTCAGACGTCAACTTGTTAATTGCACTTTACCATCTTTTGGGTATAAAATAATTTAACTAATCAATGACTGTTTCTATTGGCGAAATAAAAATATAAACTTATTTTATATTGGGAATTTCATCAGATTAATTATGTAATACAGGTTTTAATCAGCTTTAAAACCATTAAAACTATGATTTCACATGAAAGTACGCATTTCAAACTCTATTGTTATTTGTACATTTTATCGTAGAATTTTGGGATGTTTACGTTTGAGCAAACGGTAAGCGTGTGCTATGGTAAATCAAATAAATACGAATTTATTCATAGATTTTCTAAACGGTATCGCAAAAAAAGTAATTTATTTTATTTAGTTCAATTTACAAATAATTTCGAAACGATTTACTCCGGTCTTTTTACCATCTACAACAATAGGTCTTCAAAATATTTATTTTGATTCATTGTAGTAGCGTCGAAATGTTTTTGAAGGAAAGTTTTGTAAAGTATTTTATATTTACTACTGTGTCCAAAAAGTAAGGTGACATTGCATTTAAAATTTAGCGCGCTGGGGAATTTGAAAAAATCCTTTTATTTTTAGGTTGGTAGGACTGTCTTTGACATCCCTGCCAAATTACACGTCAAAATATTCATTAGTGTTTGAGATACGCTTCGTTTTGTGGACTGCTAAAAGTGAATTTCTCGTTTTTTGCGATGTCGAAATTTGTTGATCAAAGAATTTGTATTAAATTTTGTTTGCGGAATCAATTTTCTGCTGCGGATTCGTTGAGGATGGTGCAGAAAGCCTTTGGTGATGAGGCTATGTCGAAAAAAAATGTTTACAAGTGGTATAGTGAGTTCCAAGCAGGCCGTGAATGTGTCGAAGACGAAGAGCGTGCTGGGCGACCATCAACCTCAACCGACGAAGCTCACGTCCAAAAAATTAAAGATTTGGTGTTGGAAAACCGTCGATTAACGATTAGAGACCTTGCTGATGATATTGGCATATCGAAAGGCTCAGTCAATACCATTTTGAAGGATGTTTTGGGCCTCAAACGCGTCAAATCTCGACTGGTACCGAAATCATTGAATTTTTTGGAAAAAAGGTGTCGAGTTGACGTGTGTGAAACAATGCTTTCTGACTACATTGACAAGACGAAATGCATGATCACTGGAGACGAGACTTGGATCTATGCTTACGACCCGGAAACAACCGACCAATCGAGCGAATATCGTGCCAAAGGTGAGCCGAGACCAAAAAAACCGCGCCAAAGTCGCTCAAAAATCAAGGTCATGTTGACTGTTTTCTTCGATTATCGGGGTGTTGTGCATTATGAGTTCCTTCCCCCGGGTCAAACAGTCAACAAGGAATATTATTTGAGTGTTATGCGTCGTTTGCGTAACGCTATCCGCCAAAAGAGGCCGGAATTGTGGAAAGACAACTCTTGGTTTTTGCACCATTATAATGCATCGTCTCACAATGCGATCATTCTTCGTGAACATTTCGCCAAAAACTCGACTCATATCGTTCCACAACCACCGTATTCACCTGATTTGGCACCGTGCGACTTCTGGCTGTTCAACAAGCTCAAAAGACCGCTCCGGGGACACCGTTTTGAGACGATAGAGCAGATTGAAGCCGCAGCGAAGACGGAGCTGAGGGCCATCCCTGAAGTCGACTTTTTCAACTGTTTCGAAGATTGGAAAATCCGTTGGCATAAGTGCATTGTATCGGGAGGGGATTACTTTGAAGGCGATGAAATTGATTTGGAAGAATAAATAAAGAATTTTCAAAATAAATGCAATGTCACCTTACTTTTTGGACACAGTAGTACTTATTTTGGAATGGACAGTGGAATTGAAATGTTCACACTTTGGTTCTTATTTTATTCAAAATCTGAATTGATATGATTCTAAATTGTAACATAAATATGTTGTAGTTAATTAGAATAATTCCATTCAGTTATCAAATTACAAGTTTTTTTTATCATTATCACTTCAGTAATGGGTGTTCAAGAGAAATTCTAATTGAAGAATTACATTACTTCTAAAGGTCATACATTTAAAAACCCATTGCTGTTTGTATTCGCTAAAATCATGAGAAAATTCCATTTTTTTTTTCATGAGAAGAATTTCTGCATCTCAAATTACTTGCAAACACATTTCATGGATTGAAATTCTCTGTTTTGACAACAAGAATTCAATGCTTTATTTTTGTTTCCAGTTATGTGTGTCTTTAAATGTAACATCAAAACAAACATTTTCTCTTCGTAATAATGAGTATTTCCTTGAAATTTATCATTGTTTGTCTGTCGAATATGATCATATTATGTTTCCTCTCGTCTACAGTTTTTTTTCCACAGTTTATTTGAATCTTTAGATTTAAAAAATTATGCAAATATAGGAAGAGACTTGAAGCACGATTTTGTCTGTTATCTTCTTCTTTAATTTGTTTTGTTTTCCCTTTACTTACTTCCTAACCCAATATGATGTGTGAAATACCGTCCAATGTTTGTATTGTTTAGATATTCTTTTTCAGTTTGAATAATTTATTCGTTTTACACATTTTGTAAAATAAGACGAATGCCTTAAATATCAGATTGTTTTCTGAAACGGACCGATTCAGTGAAGACAATTGGCAATCCGAAATATTGTGGTAAATTGAGTGAATTAAACGAGTATCTTCATTTTCATTTCTAATCATTCGAGAGTGACAAAAGCTTTTTTTTCTCCATTTCTAACCCGAGTCCGATCGCAACCTTTTTTACGCGAAACATGTTTTTTCATTCAGTCAAGCAATCTAACATTTGTCAAAAGTCGGAAGATTTTCAGAAAAAAATCTTACTTTTCTCTGTGGAATCGCATATGCATGCAAAAGTTAATCGAACATTATTGTGAATGGCTTGAGCTGTATATTCAATAGGAGATGATTTGATCCAAAATATCAACAAAATTTCGGGTTTCTGTCTAAAAAAAACAGCGAAACATTTGCATGTCAAACTGATTCCCACTGTAAAAAGCCGTTAATCTTGAAGTTATCATAAATAATAATCATAGTTTCTCTTTCACATTTGAAAACTAAATAGTGACGCACATAAACCGCTTGCTAATATTAAAGTTAGTGATTATGAACGTAATCAGTTCTAAATTTATAATCGAATAAGCTGAAATGTTCACACAGAAATTAGTACCGACGACCAAATAAGGTAAATACTGCTGAAGCGAATAACGCAATCGGCACATTAACAACTTCATTGACAAAAATCCCGCAAAAGCGATACAACAACGTAAAAATTCGCCATGTATTTCGGCACGAATGCCACATAAATATTGCGTGCTCGGCAAAATCATGGTAAAATGTCGAATATTTAAAATGCAAGAATGTCGCTGAATTCAGAAAAGACACACAACACATCAAATTAGCTTGAAAACAAAATCAGAATATAATTCATCTTCAATTAGCACCCATCCACTTTGACGTCAAAGATCGCTTTAAATGCTCGATGTTTCTCTACAAGCTGTTCCATTAAAAGAGGAAAAGAAAATTATTTTACTCGTCGTCTATAGTTCAAACAAAAATAGTGTAGTGTTTTATCGCGTGAGCATCTTTTTTGTTCAAATAATAGTCAAAGTATCGATTATCATCATCATAAACGAATTGGAAAAAAAGATCCAATTTTTCATTTTACTTGTCGAAAATTACTTTTTCTTGTTTTTAGAATTAGATTGATGCGATATTTCGACAATTTTAATCATGTTCTATAGTTTTAATTTCATTCAAACAAAATGTGTGTTCCCTTTTGGTTCTCTGTCGCTCAATATTGCCTGTTAATTAGACTTGATTAACGTTTTAATAGGCGAATGACGTCTTTTCATTTTTTTGTCTTTTCTTTCTCTGTACGTTTTCGCTGAATTAAAGCAGAGCTTTTTTTAACCATCATTTTAATGAGATAATGGGGATCACGCCCGTTTATCCAAATCATTTTCATTATTGACTTTATGCTCGATTTCAAATACGTCATATTTCCAAAGCAAACACTTATTACATTTGTACGCCATTTAATATTATCGCCCCAGTGTTTATAGAGGCGATGTGTCATCTTTGTAGTCCTCCCATTGTTGGAATTGCAATAAGATCACCATGTGAGTCACTATCGCAGCCGACATCTGTAACAAACATCATATCAAAACAATCTATCAGTTAGCTACTGTGTTGAATGAACAATCAATGTGTCACACTTACGATAAACAGCATTCTGCAGTTGACGGTGAAGAAATCATTTGCCGTGACAAATTTATTACTTGTTATGTGCTGTATTTTTAGATAAAACATATCCAGCTTTATCAAATTAGAAAAAAAAAACGAATAGATCCAAACAATTTATCGCGTGATTTCGAAAATATAGAAAATCACTTTGAAAACCGAAAATAACTTACATTATGTCTAAGTAGACCATCCTGTTGTGTATCTATTTTAGCGATGGTCTTCTGAATTTGGCTTACCTTTCGTTGTAAAATGAATGACAGATAGTTTTTTCATTGGATAAAAAATAAAAGATTGTAATTAATAATTGCCATTATTACTAATTATGACAAGTCCAAACAAAAACGGGCCTTCAAGATTTTCGATAAAAGAAATCTATTTCTAGCGCCTCAGTTACTTTTATTAGGGCAAGCTATCCCGTGTGGAAAATTTTTGACTGTCTAAGTCAGTCACTTAATTCGGGACATTCAGTGACTATTTGACTGACTAGAAGTGATTGTCTCGAACAAAATAAGCAACTGCAGTTAACTTTAATTACAAATCACTCTAAGGCAAAATGTCCCAAATTAGTCGACTGACTGAAAGAATAATTAAACGTGATTGTCTCCATACAAAACGTATGATTTCAATCAGGTTTGGTTCACTACATACAGCTACATACAACTGAGTGGTCGGGAATAAAAATGACTAAAGTTGAACCACTTATGGATAACCGTAACACAATATTCTTGATTTTTAAAAGTGCAACATAAATTCTGTTCGCTTGAAAGTGAATCGTAAAATATCTGTGGACTATAGAAATCGTGTTTCACTTTAATTGAAGCAAAAATGTTCGATACACTTTCAAGTCCATTGGAATGATGATTCATTTTAATGGTGGTTTTGGTTGTGATTTGGCTTCGGAGTGAAAATTAAGTGATAAGGAGCGCGAATTTCGATGTGCCGATAATACCATTGAATTGAGCAGATGAAGCTCGAAAAAAAAATTTAACTTTTTTTTCGATTTTTGCCAGTTTCGGATCGTCTACATGGGAAGTTTGTATGAAAGCCTCGGAGCGCCGGTGTTTTATCCGTATTGTTATACACATCAACAAAGCAGTCTGCTTCACCGTAGAAAAGAAGTGCGTAGTAACGAACAAGAATGTTCAGGTTTCGGCAACGTTGCATTATAGCGATTATGAATGAACGTAATGAGAAATGTAACGAGAAATTATGTTGATTCATAATCACTAGTGAAGCCACGTTGCCAAAACATGTACGTTCTTGTTTCCTTACTGCGCACTTCTTTTCTACGGTGAAGCAGACTGCTTTGTTGATGTGTATAACAATACGGGTAAAACACCGGCGCTCCGAGGTTTTCATACAAACTTCCCATGTAGACGATCCGAAACTGGCAAAAAGCGAAAAAAAAGTTAATTTTTTTTTTCGATTTTCAACTGCCCAATCCAATGGTATTATCGGCACATCGAAATTCGCGCTCCTTATCACTTAATTTTCACTCCGAAGCCAAATCACAACCAAAACCACCATTAAAATGAATCATCATTCCAATGGACTTGAAAGTGTATCGAACATTTTTGCTTCAATTAAAGTGAAACACAATCTCTATAGTCCACAGATATTTTACGATTCACTTTCAAGCGAACAGAATTTATGTTGCACTTTTAAAAATCAAGAATATTGTGTTACGGTTATCCATAAGTGGTTCAACTTTAGTCATTTTTATTCCCGACCACTCAACTGAGTGACTGTTAGTCATTTTATTTGCACACGGGATGTGTTATATGCGTTGGTTACCCCAAGAGGCAAATAATTGCACTAGGAATAGATAAGCCAAAAAACTAATTTGATATTTTCAATTTTTTTTCGCACGGGAATTGTAAATGAGGCTTAAGATGCAATTTGCATCATGCTAATTTTGAACATTACCTCTGGTATAAAGATGAATTTTGTTTTTTCTAATTTTAAAAAGATATTATTGCACCATCAACTTAGTTGATATTCAGAAAATAAATATTCTTAATATGCTTTCAGCTTACCATATTGCCTAAAAAGTGGAAATAGGTGGTGAAATAGAAGTCCTTCAAAATTATTGGTAGCTCAAATCCAAAATACTTGATTGTAATGTAGAGTAGATGATGAAGAGTTCGTTGACTGGATTCGTACACATTGATATTTATCATTATATATGTGGCTAATGCAACAGCAAACAAGTTGTACACGAAAATCATTACCAAGGCCGATCCAAATGCTCGTTGTAAGTTATCGCGTGCTTTACACAATATGTCTAACATGTGTGCTACTTTTTCAAGTTGCCAACAGCATTCGCTTTTGTTGTATTTGTTTGATTCATTAGAAGCTGCCATTTTAGTCAACAAGTGTAACAAGACATTGATTTGACGTAAGCGGGCGATAAGATTGCAAGCACAATTTTTCATGTGGAACACAATGAAAGCATATACCATTTGTTCACCAACTTCGCAACTCCAAAATGCAACATTGAGCAATTCCTTCATGTTCTCGTTAAAATTTACCTCCGCAAAGAAAACGATGCACAAATAGAAAACAAACGCTACTATCTCAATCCAGAATACTCGATTTATCACCGTATATTGTATCGATGGTTTCACTAATTTTCTATAAACGCGATCAAACTGGTACAGTTTGTTGAAAAAATTTGCATGTGCTTGCCGATTGATAAGCAAAAATATTATTACAAAGAATAGCGCGTATGCATTTCCGACAGTTCGACAGATTTTCAGTATACGTATCATTGACGACAAATTGGCTATTAACGGCGGTATGCGATAAAAGCTCAAGCATGCAACGAACGCAAAGTAAGCGATTGTAGTCGAACAAACGGAAATCAAATATTTTCGACGGCACACAAAGCGTTGCGTTCGCTTTGATTGTAGCAAGGGGCAAATTCCGAAAATCAACAAAATGATATTGAGCCGACGATAAGCTTTGTAGAAACTGGACATCTTGCTTCTTTTTGAACCAATTCGTCTTCGAATGCGCACTTGTTTCCAAAAACACTATTGTTAGTTAACAATCCACAACGTGACTGTGTGGTCAAAATATACATGAACCATATTAAATTGTGTGATTTTTATATATTGTGAAATGAAAGAAATCCTTTAGATTTGGGGAAATTGTAGCAATTTGTTTGTATTGATTTGTATTGATGAATTTTCTGCTTATTCAAACAGAAAGAAAACACATTAATTGTGTACAAATAAAAAAGCTCCACTCAAAACCACTAACCACCGATGGAAACGCCATGAAATTAATGACTCTTATGCTGAATAATTCAATGCTTTATTCACGGTCAATCTTGTAATCAGTCTTTTTCAGCGAAACCCAAAATAAGCACATTATGTCATTATAGAAATTTATTTTAACGAAATCGATTTTTTGATTGATATTCACACAAGGGAAGCTTTGGAAGTTTCAATAAAAAAATTCTTGATACAACTTGATAAAATTCCGCCTGAGGTTAGTTAATGCATGCACTTGATGATTATCAAGTATGGAACCAGTAGATTTTTTCACTCCTCACGCGCCCGTGTGCAAATATTCGATGTGCGCTTCCAGAAAAAGTCTTGTTACAAAAAAAATCTGGAGGGGTTTCTATTTTGAAAACGCTAGAAGGGGGCAACTGGGAACTCCAAAGAAATGAAAGAAAGTCAACTTAAAAACTAGGGGCTCTCTCCGTTCAGCGCTTAATTCAAATTTCAATAAATGATATTCTCAAATGGGCGCTCTGCTCTCTGTTTGGCTTTTTGTTCAAAATTGAATTTTAACTATTATTTATTTAATTTCTGTGTTTGCTATGTATTCAATGTATAATGTATCAATTGATATGCACAAAGCAAGAGTACAACTTATGAGCTCTTTTTCTATAACTGATACGGAAAAAAACTGTTAGCAAAAAAGAAACAAATAATATCAAGAGCAAAATTGACGCAGCTTAGAAATGAAATAGCGACTAGGTGTATGCGGCATATTCGTAGTTCTTTTCGTGTTCTACAGGCTTTGTTATGCGCTAAATCCATCAGGCTGAATAAATTCATGCGATAGAGCAACAGACCTCGTTCACCTCAAAACGAGCGCATCGCATTTATCGCATAAATCTACTAGTAAATCTATCGCATGAATTTATTCAGCGTGATGGATTTAGCGCATAACAAAGCCTGGTGTTCTACTATAATGCTAAAGACGCCAAATCGTTATCTATTTCCATTAGCGAGAAAATTGCAAAAAAAACGTCTTTTCCGCTCAATACTGAGTTGTGCCATTTTTGATCGGAACTTTATTTGTCTCTTTTTTGCTCAAAGTTTTTTCCCGTATCACTCATAGAAAAAGAACTCATAAGCTGTGCGTGTCAATTTACCTCATTTATAAATTGGTTGTTCTATAAAATCAGTGAAATTACATTTTTAAGTCTTGTAAATAGTGAAAAATGTATAAATGTTTTGCTCTAAAGCGGAAAACTCTAATTAGCTGATTTTTGTTCTGTCCCGTTTTCCAAAGATTCTTGTATATTGCAAAATATTAATCATTTCACGCAACCAAACCTTCTGTACATTGGCGGCAGTTCATGATTCACGTACAATGACTGTTAAAAGGTGTTAACGATTTGCGATCATGAAAAACTCGCAGTGTGTGTTATTTCCAAGAGTTCCCAAAATGTGCGAATTTAAGGTCATACTACAAAAACAGGGAATAGTGTAGATGTATTTTTTTATTATTGTATAATTTCGTGTTCTTCATATAAATTTTTTAGGAAATATCAATCTTCTTCGTTCTTTTAATTGGTGAATAACGATTAAATTATTAACAATTTAAATTTACCGTTCTTAGCGGTACGTAAGTTTTATTATAAACCACCATTGATCAAGTCATATATATAAGACTCATCGTTTTCGAGAGTTCATAACCATTTTATCTGCTTAGTGCGACAGCTGAAATTGATTTCTATCACTCCAGCAAATATGTATACAAGTTGTGCTTTTGGAATTTTTGTGTTTTTCTGCGTTTTCGAAAAAACTGCATCAGCATCAGTTCCTATTACAATCAATCAAGCTCCCATCGAACAACCAACAGGTAAATTGAAAATTGCAAAATAGTTTTTCATTCAAATTAGTTATAGAACTGTTTGCATTGAATTAGATTTACAGCCAATCATTGATGCATCTCCCGGATCGAACAGCCTAAAAGAACATCTAGAAAGCATTATAAAACTTGACAATCCATTAAAATCAACAGTTGAAAACCTAAATCCAATACTTGCTGGACCAGATGTACCAAATGTACCGGAGACAGTATTGCCATCAGAGCAGAATGAAAACTCAGATTTGAAAACCGATGCTTCAGGCTATTATGGAGGATATGGTGGATATGGTGGATACGGTGGATACCGTTCACCATATTATCATCAATACAGCAACCCTTATTACTCAAATTATTGGTCATATGGGAATTATTACAATCGTCCATACTATAATCCATATGGGTATTATCCAGGTATAAATGAAAGAAATATACTTTCAAGTTAATACGTCGTTATAAATATTGTTACATTCTTCGTAAAAAAAATATTTCAAATTCAATTAATTCTCGAATAATTGTTTCGATTTCAGGGCAATACTACAACCCATACCGACGTCGATTCTCCAGCTTTTATTATTGAACATTTTGATCATGCGCAGCTGAACGCGATATTATTATTTGTACTTCACATGTATTCCAAATAAAGTGAGAGAAACAAGACGGTAGTGTCATATTTATTTGAGCGTGAATTATTTACACTTGCCTTTAACGCGTAAATATTTTGCCGTAACAATATTAGCACACCGTGCACTTGTCTGCTGAGGAAGAACGTGATGTTTACTTCGGAAAGTCGATTGATCAGTTTTGCAATTGGTCTGATGTTTACTACCAAATTTCGGCATCACTTTGTTGATCAAAGATTGGCGCAGTAGCCGTAGCAGCAAAACGCTATAGTAAAAGAATCTAAAAATCAAAATAATATCGAAAAGTGTCGGAAAGACTTCAAATACAAATACAAATACAAATACTATTGTTTACTTGGAATGAATCGTATGAACTCGTACTCAACCATTCATTTTGGTGACTCATTGCTCCAATGTTCACAATTGTTCATTTTTGAACACTTGGATCAGGTTAATTTATTTGATGACCAGGCAACCAAAACTCCAAGCATTTGTGACAACGGACGATAGTCGGCGCGAGTGGCAAGTTCCCATTGAAACACTTAATCACCAATGTAGACACGGAAGTTCGAACTTATTGCTCTAGAGGCCATCTGGTGTAAGTGAATTCAGTTTGACACTCTTAATCAAGAATGAACGGATGATCTTGGAACTTGTTTGTCGAAAATTTCTGGAAACCGAAAAGCTAGTGTGTGTTGATTGCAAAAGTCGCTTGTGGAAGTTTTGAAACATAGTTTTTATTCATATAATCTCTCTGTTCTTTTTTTTACAAAATATATCTACCTCTTTTTCTATACATGCCTAGAATTTCTTCAAAATCGATTGGAAATAAATATTAAGTATCTCTACTATTCGACAAACAAAGCTTTACAATGCTTTTCTGAATGAACACCAAATAGTCGGGTGACTCCTTAGAAAAATATCCCATTGACCCATGCAAGTTTTTTCTTTGTTGACATTTAATCAAAATTAGGCGTTTTCCTTTTCAAATTTAAAGTGGATCGCTGCACTCTATTTCTATGTGTGGTTGAATGTGATTCTTGAAAAAGTTTTCCGCATTAATGGTTCGTTCAAAATTTTAAGTGTTCAAATCCGAACAGCGCCGTAGCCAGAAAACAAAATTGGAGGGTGCAAAATCGAAATTTTTCTTTTGTTGCACCTTTGAAACCCGATTTTGCACCCGAACTTGTTGCACCTTTGAAATTTTTGGAGGGTGCAATGCACCCATTGCGCCGGCCTGGCTACGGCGCTGAATCCGAAAATATCGAGAAAAAAAACATTAAAAACATGGATCGAAATTAGTACATTTGTGTAATATTATTAAACAAAATCATCGTCATCACAATTGTAATGCCGGATTCTTAAGAAGTGATTACAGCATGAATTTGTTCCATTTTTACGGGTGTCATTCTCAAATGCTGTTGAACAAATGTGCACATAAGCAAATTGTCAACTTTTTCAAGTTCCACATGTTTCTACAGCGCAATAACGTCCAGCCATTATTCCCAGCAGTTCAAATTTCATAAATAGATTTTTTTTTTAAATATACTTCTTGACGACCTTATTCATTTTATGAAGACTATTTCAAGTATCTGAGATTGTGTCTTCTCGCTCTCTGTCTCTCAATGTTCCAATGTATCTTTTCTCTGTTCGTGTAAAAAAAGTGCTATAGGCCAAACGATATCTTAATTGTGTGAGTTTTTATTTTTTTTTTTTTGAATATACACTCTTGGACAAAATTTAGAGGACAACCTCGAAAAAAATGTACCAATGATTATTTCATGAACGTTATTAGTTTTTATTATTCAAACATTTGTTCTATTTATTGCAAAATAATGTGAACTAAAAGAATCTTGAGAATTTTAGTGAATATTTTTGAATTTCGTGATTTTTTCTCAAAAATGTAAACCGACGTCAATTTGGCATTGGACAAAATTGAGAGGACAGTTCGTTACATATTTATATAAATGGACCAACTTCCATGACAATTGAAAACTAGAGACACAGCTTCATGCACAGGCTCGCGAAGATTCGAAATACTGTATATGGTTTGCTCCACCGAACCGTTGTTTCAGAAATGGAGGCGGTCAAACTTTTTTATTATATTTCACTTCTGTCATCTTCAACACATACGAATATATCTTGAACCAAGAAAGATATTGAAGCATAGTAAGCGGCATTTGAAAGATTGAAATTAGGCCAACAAAATGCAATAATAACCGACCAAATATTCCAAGTACTTCAAGAGATACAGCCGTGAAAGTATGACAGCTGCTATCGAAATGACACCAAATATTTGACATTTGAGGTTAGAACTCAGAAATTGTAAATTATTTTTACTTCATGTCTTGATCAAATTTACTCTACTTATCAAGAGCTACAATTTTGTTGGAAATGTCAATCCCAAAAATGAATCAAATTGAACGAGAGAAATTACTAATAATCTCTCAGTTAAAAATGAACTCCCTTGAAAGATGAAGACTGAAGAATTACATCGTTGATTCTTTTCATAATAATGAAAACGATGTAATTCTTCAGTCTTCATCTTTTTAGGTAGTTTATTTTTGGGATTGACATGTTCAACAAAATTGTAGCTCTTGATAAGTAGAGTAAATTTGATCAAGACATGAAGTAAAAATAATTTACAATTTCTGAGTTCTAACCTCAAATGTCAAATATTTGGTGTCATTTCGATAGCAGCTGTCTTACTTCCACGGCTGTATCTCTTGAAGTACTTGGAATATTTGGTCGGTTATTATTGCATTTTGTTGGTCTAATTTCAATCTTTCAAATGCCGCTTACTATGCTTAAATATCTTTCTTGGTTCAAGAAAGATTCGTATGTGTTGAAGATGACAGAAGTGAAATATGATAAAAAAGTTTGACCGCCTCCATTTCTGAAACAACGGTTCGATGGAGCAAACCATATACAGTATTTCGAATCTTCGCGAGCCTGTGCATGAAGCTGTGTCTCTAGTTTTCAATTCTTATGGAATTTGGTCCATTTATATAAATATGTAAGGAACTGTCGTCTCAATTTTGTCCAATGCTAATTTGACATCGGTTTACATTTTTAAGAAAAAATCACGAAATTCAAAAATATTCACTAAAATTCCTCTAGATTCTCTTAGTTCCGCACGATGATAACGAAAGGGCGAACAATTGTAGAGCGCCGCTACAGAGTGATGAAAACACTTAGTTCAAATTTGTTCGCGCTCAAATTCACTCCGTCATATTCATTCTTGTTTTGATGTCGAAACAGTGGAAAAAATAATAAAAAAAATAAATTTGAAATAAAATAAAATACAATTTAAATTAAATCCGCACATATTTTACATGTTTTGCTGTTTTTCGTATGATTTCGCAATAATCCATAATGGTGACGAAATATTATGAAATATTGCGAAATCATATGACAAACATGTAAAATATGTGCGGATTTAATTTAAATTGTATTTTATTCTATTTCAAATTTATTTATTTTTATTTTTTTATTATTTTTTTTCACTGTTTCAACATCAAAACAAGAATGAATATGACGGAGTGAATTTGAGCGCGAACAAATTTGAAATTTTTTCTTTCGCATTCTGCCGTTCTGCAGTAGTGGCGCTCTACTATTTCACACTCCATGTTTTACATAGAAAAATTGACAGAATATTGCCGGGTGCTTAGTTCACATTATTTTGCAATAAATAGAACAAATGTTTGAATAATA